TGCGCGGTGTGTCGGCTGACCTGGCATCAGATGACTACGCTGGCGCCGCGGCGGACGACGCGGCGTCACATGGCCCGACAGCGGCTGAGGCGCCAGCACCAGCAGAATCGCACTTGAATGAGCCAACACCTGCGCCCATGGCTCTGCCGAATGAGAATCCTGTTGCAGTGCTGTGGATGCCAGAGCAGGATCCAGTGCTAGCTTCCCCCTGCACAGTGGCAGGCGGGGCAGCGGTTGGCAACACGCCTTGCCCTGCACACGCACCTAACAGCTGCTCGCCCTCTTCAGGGGCCGATGTGGCGGGAGTGCCGCCAGCTGCAGCATCAGAAGCACCAGCAGAGTCCATCGGCAGTGCTGAGTCACCAGGCCCGGCGGACAGCGAGGCGGCGCACCCCGCGGCGCCCGCGGAGCAGAGCGCGGCGCGGGCATGTGGCGCCGACCATAGCAGCAGCGGCAGCGAGGGCTGGGACGGAGTGGCCAGACGGACACCCAGCAGTTGCAGCCTTCAGGATGATGGTGCAGGGGCATGGAAGGCAGAGGGCACGGCAGAACTGCCGCCGTTGCCTGTGTGGCAGCACCTGCAGGGTTTCTGGCGGGCGAACGAGGCAGAGGAGGCAGCGGAGCCAGAAACGGCGGAGCAGGGGCAGGCGAAAAATGCTGCATCAACGCACTGCTTGGAAGGGGCTTTGCGGCCATCTGCTCAGGTGGAGGGCGCCGCATCGGGCGACCTGCCGCCGCCCGCCCGCGAGGCGCTCTCGCCTTTGCCGCCGCTGCTGCGCCCGGTGGGGGCGCGGGTCCATCAGCAGGTCGCCGGAGCGGCAGCGGGGGAGGCGCTGCCAGACAGCTCGCGGCTGTGGCAGCAGCTGTCGATCCAGAACTGGCCATCTGCGGCGCTGGGCGCCAGCTGCTGCCTGGACGGGTACCGCCTGGAGGACTTGGTCGGGGAAGCGTCGGCGCGGCTGGCAGCAGAAGACGGGCCAACGCAGCTGCTTGACGACGGCCGCCAGCACGCTGGAAAAGCGGCCGGCCTGCAGATCGAGGAGGGGGAGGAGGAGGAGGAGGAGGAGACGGCGGCAGCTGGGCATGTGGTGGAGACAGCAGGCGCAGAGAAGGTGCCGGCTCCTGTGGGGACAGGCGCCATGGAGCAGGCTCCTGAGGAGGCGCGGATACTGGCGCCCATGGCAGCGGCGACGCAGGCGGCGGCAATTGCAGCAGCACTAGCAGGAGCAGGAGCAGCAGAAGTGGCGGCACCGCTGGCGCCAGACCCGTCCACGGATGCGCAACAGGCTGTTTTGCCCTCAGCTGGGCCACAGGCAGATGCGCGCCTCCTGGGCTTGGCAGGGCTTCAACATGCACTCGCTGCCGCAGACCATGGATTCAAAGCGGCAGATGCCGCTGCCGTAGCTGCACCAGAGGCGGAGGTGGCAGCACCAGGCTCGGCAGCAGCAGAGCCAGCTGCGGGGGCAGGAAGCCGGGCGGCATTCCCAGCATCCCCGTCGCGTGCCGCCAGCAGCACAGCTGGGGCCAGGAGCGGCAGCAGCGGCTGTGCCGGCAGGGGTGGCAGAGGCGGTACCAGCAGCGCCGGTGGCGGCGGTGGCGGCAGCGGCGGAAGCAGAAGCAGAGCAGGCAGCAGCAGAGCAGGCAGCGGTAGGGCACCAGAACCTGAACAGCACCAGGAACCTCGGAGGTCTGCAAGCTCAAGCTGCGACCTGCAGCAGCCGCCCCAACCAGCATCGCCTGGATCTGGGGTGCTGGAGCAGCAATGGCAAACCCAGCCGCAGCCGCTGCAGGCGGATTCCCAGCTGCATCAATCCCCTGAGCCCTCCACCTACAGCGGCCGGCAGCATACATGGGAGGAGGGGGAGACCAGCGCAAGCACGGAGGCGAGGCCACCCCAAAAGCAGCTGCAGCAGCAATCGGTGGTTGCGGACGCGTCACCAGCCTCAACGCTTAGGTGAGCGGAAGATGGGGGATGCGACAGCATCACCTGGGTCGAGGAGGCGCCAATCCTGCGGCCTTTCTGGGCACTGGTGTGGCATCGCTGCTTGCGTGTATTCTGATCATGCACGGCGCAATCAACACGCCCAGTTTGCACGAGCACCCTGCGCGCGCGCGCGCACACACACACACACACACACACACACACACACACCACCTGCTCTGTACCCCCTATCATGCCATCACCTAGGTTGCACAGCCACAGGTCCCCATCCCCGGCATCGTTGACTGAGGCAGCGGAGCAGCCTGAAGGCGGCGACAGCAGCAGCGATGGCCGCGCGTCCGTCCAACAGCAGCACATCCGGCAATTGGCGAGCGATCTCCGCGCGGGGGCGCGCCGCGCGCGGCGGCTCAGCGCTGCCCGCCGCCGCGATGGGCGTCGCCACGACAGCAGCAGTCCAGACCGCCGCAGGCGCAGGCGCAGCCACAGCCGCAACGCGCCGACCCGGAGTGCGAGCTCCAGCCCGGCGCGCAGGCGGCGCGCAGCGGCAGCACTCGCCTCAGAAGGCGTACAGGATTGGGAGGCGCAGTACCAGCAGCTGGCGGCGGAGCCCTCTGCAGGGGGCAGCCCGCTGTCTTACAGCTCACTATGCAGTCCCGACCCGGTCGGTAGCGCGTTCGCGGCGGCAGCAGCACCTCTCCGCGGTGCGGCCAGCCCACCAGGCATGTTTGACGAACTGCCCTCAACGCAGAGCCTCGGCAGCGGGGCCAGCGTCGGCAGCGAAACGCAGCCGGGCTCCCCTGGCGGCGACTGGGGCTGCGGCCACTCGGCGTGGCGGGGTGAGGAGGCGCGCGACCCCGGCCGCAGCAACAGAGCAGCTGCAGCTCATGAGGCAGGGTGGCGCAGCAACTGTGCGTTTGAGCAGCTGGGGCCCAGTGGGGCCGCTTCTGCGCCTACTTCCCCGCGCTCTGGCAAGCGGCGCCGCGAGCTGCTAGCCGAGCGCGCAAGCGGCGGCTCACCCGCACGCACAGCGCGCCGCCAGCGCGCCTCGCCACTCGAATCCACGCCCGTGGCCGCGGCGCATGCGCGCGGCAGCGGGGCCGGATGCGGCGGGGACATTGCAGATGCGCTTTCTGGCGCGATTGGCAGCGCGGGGCGCCTGCAGGAGCGGCTGGAGGGCGCGCTGTTTGCTGTGGACGGCTTGTTGGTGCGCTATCCCGTTTTGGAAGGCTGGCTGCTCGAAGTTGATGCTGCCTGCGGCACCAGCAACGGCGGCGCCACAGCAGACCGTGGTAGCGGGAGCGGTGGCGGCAGAGGCGGCGCGGGGGCGGCGAAGACGGCCACCGCAGCCGTGGCTGACAGCTCAGGGCCTGGCGCAGCGTGGTGGGAGGGCGGCAGCTGCGGCGCCGATGGGGAGGAGGGGGAGGAAGAGGATGCTGTGACCAGCTGCCTGCAGGCGGCGGCGGGGGTGCGGGCAGAACTGGAGTGCCTGCTCGGCGGAGCCACGGGGGGCAGTGGCGGCAGTGAGGGCGACCGCGAGCCGCCGGGCGACGTTCGAGGCAACTGGGGTAGTCCAGTCGCAGGCAGCGGCAGCGGCAGCGGCGGCGGCAACGGCGGTAGCAGCAGCGGTGTTGGTGGGCAGCGCAGCAACCAGCCTGCAAGGCGACGGGGGGGTGCACCAGCACTGTCAGAGGGCTCCAGTTTGGGGCCTGAAGAGGGCGGCAGTGCATTGGACGGCATCGACGCGCTCATTCAACGGGTGCAGGGCCTGCGTGAGGCGCTCGAGCGCGGCTCGGCGGTTCGGCCAAGCGAGTGACCAGTGTTTCCCACACGGCCCCTTGATGGTTGTTCCGGCAGCGACGCTGGAACTGTTGACATAGTTGTAATGAGCTAAGAGCTGACATGTAGAACCGGACCATGAGTTTGCGTGGTGTTTGCCAGGGTGATCCTTGGCAAAGGTGTAGTCCACCAGGCTGCCAGCAAGCGTCATCCAGCCAGGATCCTCCTGAGGGTGATGAACACGGCTTCCCGCCAGGCCCACCACGCCTTGCTCACCTGCATAAAGAACGCCTGACCCATACGTGCAAACAAGTACGAGCTGCGGGCGCTTCCCAAGCTTTCTGATGAGGGCGGCACGCACGGCAGGTGTGCGAGCCCCCTGGCAGCCTGCCAGCCACGCCCACAGGCAATCCGCAGGTGCTCCGCGGAGCAAGACAACGCACGGACGCTGCACCCCGCACGCGTCATGAGCCTGCCAATGCCACCCCATTGTCCTCCACGCATCTGCTTGTTCTGAAAGCGGTGCTTTCCTGGGCCTGTTGCATAGCAGAAGCCGCACACTATCCCACTGCAGCCACGGCTGCTATGGAAGGAAGAGGGCCTATTGTTGACAGCGGTGCCTGCTCACTAGTCGGCCACAGCTGCCGCTGTCAGTCATCTGGATAGCGGCAGCAGCAGTGGACAACACCATCGCGCTCAAATGTCCTGGTGCATACATATGCTGGTGTCTAAGCACTTGCCTTTGCAACACCTTGGAGTGCTGGGCTTTGTTCTGTCAACATCTCTACCACACCAAATGCTGTCCATTTCATTCACGCGGCCTTGTGTGCCTGGCCCAGCACCTCCTCAACTGTGAAGGCCGGCTTACAGCCCAGGCATGCCAACATAATGAAGGGAGAGCAGTGCCGCAGACCTTGTGCCGCAGTTGTTTTGGGAGAATGCAGTGCATGCAAAAGCAGGGTGTGATGAAATTAAGTGGGCACGGCAAAGCCACAATAGGCAAGCGTTGATTGATTGAGCGGACATCGTGAATGCCAAATAGAACAGTTGGCAGAAAGAAGACAGCTTGATAATGTGCACGGCCCATCCAAGTGGTGAGCGGCCCGTTTGGATGCAGCGCGCCGAGTACGCAACCTCGACAAGGCGCAGCGCTGCCGCCACAAAGAAGGGGGGAGGTTGTCACGAAAGAATACACCGGCCAGGACACGAGTCCCGACGCCACATCAGCAGGATGGAGCCACGCCAGCCACCCTCGCGGCGCTCAGGCGCCGCGCCCGCCGCTTTACTGCCCGGCCGCGGGCGCGACGGCGAGCAGGTCGTCCCCAAACACAAAGCCCCGGCGCCACGCCCCCTCCGCAGGCCCCGCCGGCGGCGCCCAGCAGACGCCGTCCCGGCAGAGGAAGCGCGCGAGCACCGCGGGCGGCGCGGATGCCCAGCTCTTCACGTAGACGTGCGCCAGCCCGTTGGCTATCCAGGAGTACTCGACGCCGTCGATCTGGCCCACTTTCAGCAGGTACGGCTGCGGCGGCAGGGGCCGCGACGTGACCAGCACCTGCAAGCTGGGGCAGCGCGACAGGCGCTCCGCCAGGGACCGGCAGAGCGCCGCGCCAAAGGCCGTGCTGCACATGAAGTAGTGGGTGGCGCCCGCGACGGCCTCCAGGTCGCAGGTGGCGAGGTTGGCGCTGACAAAGCGCGTGGGCCGCAGCGGGACGCCAAGGCCGGACAGCACCTCTGCCGCGGCCTCGGCCTGCGCGTGTGGGCGTGGACAGTGTGAGATTCAAGGAGGGACGACGGCAGCCGCAGCAAGGCGGTCACCAAGCAGCACGACGCTTTGCGCGGCCTGGCGGCTTGGCTGCTGGCTGAGAGCACTACACACCCTGCAGCACTACACACCCTGCATCTCGCATCTGCACCCGGGAGGCATGACAGGTGCTTGGGGCGCGCTGTCGCAGGTATCAAAGGCCCCCCACCTGCTCCAGCCGGCTGTCCGACAGCTCCAGCCCCACCACCCCTGCGGCCCGCGAGTGCATCGCCGCCGACAGCGCCACGCGCCCGATGCCGCTCCCGAGGTCGCAAAATGTGCTCGAGCCGTCGAGGGACAGCATCTCCAGCAGCCGCAGTATGCCGGCCGGCATGACCTCCCCTGGCAGCGTTTAGTGGGTGGTGTGGGCGTTAGCATTGGATTTGCAGACAGAGCAGCAGGGGGTCGCAGCTGCATTCGTTTCAGCGGTGGCAGACGCAAGACATGCAGGCACGGTACAGTGGCAAGCTGCTCCACAGCTGTGCATTGTTTGTAAAATTGAGCGGCAAAGCCCCTGGAGGGCCCCGCAAGCTTGGGTGCTCGGGAGCCGCATGGTGCCAGCTGCGCGCCCCTCACCATAAGTTGCCGCCCCTGAGCTGATTGAATCGATGAGCGCGCGCTCCCGCGCCGGGATCAGCCAGCCGCCCTTGCTGAAGAACACCTCCTTTTTTAGGTGTGCATGTTGCGTGGTCGAGCCGAAGGCCGCAACGGGGGAGGATGAATTCATGGGTGCGGTGCACGAGCATGTACTGCACCAAGAGCACCGCCACAAGTGAGAGGGGGCTGCCTGAACCTGCATGGAGGTGAGAGAGAGAGCCCCTTCCTGCACGTAAGTCACACCCATGCTCTCACCTCATCCAGTTGCTCGTACACTTGCGTGAGCAGGTCCTGCTGCTCGGCGGCGGCAGCGGCAGTGGTGCTGGGCTGTTCCTGCTGCTGTCGCTCCTGCTGCTGCTGCTGCTGAGCATCACATACCGCCTTAAGAAGCGCACGCGTGTCGTTTTGCAGCTGCACAGGCCGCGTAGCGACGGTCGTTGCTGGTGCTGCTCTGCAGGAGACCGCGCCTCGAGGTGGCGGCCGACACAAGGTGTTACGGTGTGCAAGGGCTCTCATGCTTTGTCTGCTGTCACGGACAGTGCTAGCTGCAGACGAGAGTTGCAGGAGTGGATTTATGAGAAAATGCGTTCCAGGCAACAACGCAGCCAAGGAGAGTGCGTAATGAACATCCAGATAATATAACAACCTCACACCGCCTGATTGGGCTCACAAATGCTGCCGCACCATGTAGCTGTCCGCCGGCCTGCTCATGCCGCACGTGCTCATGCACTACAGTAGTGCACTGCAGTGTTCTTGAGACGTGAGATGCTAGCAGTCACGTGGCACTCCACGCGCCTAATTTTTCTGGTGAGTAAGGCCAATTATCTGGAGGCAGGCAAGGACACTGATGCACATGAGCACCGTGGTCACTTGTTGTCACGCACAGGTCACCAGGACTCAGCCTGTGCAAAGCTCACAGGAAGCGGGGGCGTGAATGCAGGTGTGCCTGGCACAATGCACAGGCCAACGCGTAAGATGTCATGAACGCCGCTTTCCTAGAACCTCGCTGTTTCTGCTCAAACACGCCCCAAAAATCTCCCGACAAGTATGCAACAGCAGTTTACAGCACAAACCGTCCGCGAATTAGCAAAGCACCAGGTACACAGCGGCGCCACCCTGCAGTCATAAGCAACATGCTAGCGTGAAACAAAACGGACGAGATAAAATGACAGCTGCACATGCACTAGCCCACGTCCTCATCGCCGTTGTGTTCATGTGGGCTGCGATGATCATCCCTGCCATCCAGAGACGATGGCTGTGACACTCACAGTCCCCTCATCGAGGTGATCAGTGTGACGGTGACAGCCATCGCCCCGACACTGTAATTAGGCGAGTTCCTACCTGGCACTTTGAAACCCAAACCCCAAGCACCATGGGCTTTTGTAATGAAGCGGCGCCGATCACTGCGCATGGGACCGCTCCAACTCTGGTTCCCCGTTGCCGCCATCGATCACGCTCGTCCTGGCCTGACGCTGTATCTGATGCCGCTGCAGAAACCCCTTGATCGCCGCCTGAACATACATGGCTGCAAAATAGTGCGCCACGGTGTACCCTCCCCCGTGCTGGCGCCCGCGAGCGCCGCCACCGAAGCTTGACCGCGAGGCCGGTGGCGGGTCCTCCGGCGGCGGCAAGTGCGCCTGCAGGCGGCGGTGGACCCGGGCCTCCTCCTCCGCCGGCACCTCGGTCCCCGCCACGCGGCCGGCAAGGGCGTGCAGCGTCTCAATGTAGTGCACCTGCAGAGCGGGCAAGGGGGAGTTCGCCCGGGGCTGCGGCATTTAGATGTGGCGTGGTTGGGCTCGAATGTGAGACTTGTGCCAGCACGTGTGGAATATGATCATGAGGGCGGGAAGCTCGCACAACTGGGTAGCCAGGCACCGAGTCAGCATCCCCGTCCTCCATCCCTCATTTACAAGCTGGTCAACTTTGCTGCCAGGCAGCCACAGGATGCACGCGCTGCTTCGCGCGCCCGCCCACCTTGCCCCCATGCACTGGGATGTCGACGCTCATCACAATGCTCTGCAGCTTGGCACGCGCCGCCTCCTCCCCCTTGACCCCCAGGGGTGGGTCCAGCTCGCTGATCAGGCAGCCGAGCTGTGCCGCGGGGGTAAAGTTGGTGGCGCGTGGGTCCAGCTCTGCCCATATCTGCGGTGGACGGCGTGGCGGTTGTGGGTCGTCGTGTTTGCTGTACCAAGGTCCAGTGCATAAAGACGGCAACATGAAGGTTTGCTGGCTTTCACGGCTGCTCAATATCACAGCCAGTCAAGCGAGGCTGCCGAGCGAGCAAGCCACTTGGAAGTCGATGGCAGGGTGCAGGGCTGCCGATCACAGCCGAAGCCAGCAATGCCGCCCACCTCTACAAACTGGCGTATGTGGCGGCCGCTGACTGGCAGCTCCTCTGTGCTGGTCTGCTGGGAGAAATTGTCAATGATGACTGGGTGCGGTGATTGCAGGGTGGATCCCAGGGTGTTCAGCGCGAGGAGGGTGGGTGGCAATCAGGTTTGTGAGAATGCGGCAAGGCAGGTTGAGCATCCAGGAGAGCTGCAAGTCGACGAGCGCATGCTTTGCATACATAGCATGCACAGCACGCCCAAGGCAGACTGTGCATTTGCTTTGCCAAAAACTATGGCAAGCTGGTCAGACAGGGGGAACCTGTACACGTGACAGCAAACGGCGGGCACCGCACCTCCAATCACAAAGTTGACAAGGATCAGGGAGCACAGCACCACAAACACGCAGAAGTAGACCACCGCAGCCACTGGGCTGGGGCTGCAGCCGTCCTCCTGGGCGTCCCTTGGCACTGACGCCAGCAAGGGGTCCCCCGCGTCCAGCCACGTGCCTGCCGCCACTAGCAGGGCCGCAGATGGTGACGAGGCTCCGGCCGACGCGTTGACGGGGCTGCTGGGGACGTCACGGGTGATGAGGACGCATTGCTGGCGCACCATGCAGTCCACCATGAGGCCTGGGGCAGGGGTGAGAAAAGCGCAGGAACAGGCCAGGGGTGACTGCTAGTCAGGCAAACCTGGGCGAGCCACAACCGGCCCAGAGCTGAGCCCGCTCTCTTTAACAAACGCAGGCGAAACCGAGCCGCCTGCCTTGCCAACAGCCAAGCCGCCCCCGCCAGGGCGTGGGGTTCCCCGCCCGCCCCCACCACCAGGCCACGCCCACCATTCCAGGACTCCCCGGTCATCATCCTGAACAGTGTCAGCAGCGCCCTCCCCACATTGTGGAAGTTGGCGTTGTCTCCCAGGTAGACCCCCGGCTTCACGGACCCAAACAGGTTCATGCCCACCACGGCAAACACAAACAGGAACAGGAACAGCACGCTGCCGACGTTGGCCAGCGCGGGGATTGAGAATACGAGGGTCTTCATCAGGACGTTGAGGCCCCTGGCCCGCGGGATGAGGCGGAACATGCGTGCGACGCGCAGCATGCGCAGCAGGGGCAGGAAGGGCAGGTTGCTGGTGGTGGCGAAGTCGATGACGACGCCGACTATCGAGACGGCGACGACAAAGGCGTCAAAGACGCACCACGTGTCCTGCACCGATAGTGTGTTGAGGAAGTTATTTGTGAGGCTGGATAGGGTCTGCGTGATAGGCCTGCTGTGACGCAATTCCGCGGGACAATTCCTGCGTTCAGGCAGGTGAGCAGGTGGTTGGAATCCAAGTCCTGCAGCTGCAACAGCAATCAGCTCATATGCCAAGGTCGGCAGGCCCCATGTTGTGCGCCTCAGAGGGTCAACCCAGGCCAACTCCCAACGCAAATGCCACATGTACACACCCACCGTGAAGTATGTCTTGGGACCCAGTGCAGTACATTTGAGGACGCCCTCCAACAGGAAAAGGGCTGTAAACACGACGTTTCCAACGCTCATTGCCTCCTGTGGTTGCGGGATGCGGGCCAAGATTGCAGTCCATGAGGCAGCATACATTGTGCCACGAGAGCCCGATCTCGTTGACTGGGCAGGCTGTTTGGCGCTAAGGCATTCTTGTGTTTCCCTGCCCAAACGCTGAAAATCTCACCTGCCATCCGCTCGCCATGCCGTAATGCACCATCGCCAGCATCAGCACATTGAGGATGATGAGGCCCATGACGGCCGCCTCAAAAACATCGTCGGTGACGACCGCAAACACCGCGGCCCGCAGCTTCCCGGGCGGCGGGGGGTACCGCGGGTCAAGAGCGGCGTTGGCGAGGACGCGCTGGATCGACAGCCACGCCTCCTGCGCCGGCGTGAGCAGCACACTGCTGCCCTGCTGCTCGTGCATCTGGGAGAACTGCGGCGGTGGAGCGGGTTGAGGCAGAGGAGCTCAGTCCAACACCCAGCAAGAGCACACCAGCTCGTCCCAAGCTAGCAGCAAGCGCGGTACTGCGTGGGGACCGCGCCAGAGGAGTCCCAGCTGGAGGCCCAAGCCACGGAGCCCCTAGCTATGCCAGCGGTGGACCTTCGAATAAGGAGCCTTGCCGGGGACCAGACGGTCCATGCACATGGGCAATCACAGCCGCCCCGCTCCAAACTGTTAACGTCTGCCCCAGCTGCTCCCAGCTCCTCCCTTTCACCTTTTCAATCGTGACGGACACGAAGAGCTGCAGCACAAAGAAAGCCCCGAATATCATGAACACCACGAAAAACGCCGCCACCGCCGGCTGGGCGTCCCTGAGCGGCTGCAGGTCAATGCCGACGGCGTCGATGCCGGCGCCCATCGTGTCCACCCAGAGCTCTGTGGTGGAGATGCTGAAGAGCGTCACGACGGCACTGACTATGTTGTCAAAGTTCTGACCGCGGTTGACCCAGGAGCGCGGCAGCTGGTAGGGCGGCGGCGCCACGCCGATGGCGGCGTGGTAGACGCTCGCATTGACTTGCTCGGCGGAGGCGAGGCACCAGTCTTTGGTGAGGGTGGCGCCCGGTGGCAGCACGTAGGACGGGTTGATGGCGGTTCCCGTGGTGTCATCCCTGCAGAAGTGAAGCTTCCCCTGCCGGTTGCCGGTCAACGCCGCGGTGGCAGCACTGGTGAGCGGCTGAGCGCGATGGAATTCTGGGGTCCTACTGACCTGCTGCGCTGCCAGCAAGTGGGTTGCCAGCAACTGCAATTGCACAGGGCTGTGACTGGGCAAGCGCACAGTGCCTTTGACCAGAGCAAAGATGATGTCAGCCACCCCATAGCGCCAGCCTCACCGCAAAGAGGTTGACTGCCATGATGCCAAATATCAGGTAGAACAGCAAGCACACCAGCAGCACGTTGCCCAGGGCGGGGATGCTGGCAAACAGCGCGTTGACCACGACCTGCAGCGGGGGGGTTGGTGGATTTGTGGGCACGGAACGCCATGGTTGTGCTTGAAGCAGGTGTATGGTGCGTTGGGTTACCAGTCGCGGCAGCAGCAGCCTTCATGGGTGCTGCTGCTCCCCGAAACCAGGCTGATTTTGGGGTCGCGGCACGCTCGTGCGATGCAGGGCGCCGCGCAAACCTTCATGCCCTCCAGTCGGCTCGCGGCCCTCAGGGGCCTCAGGGCCCTCAGCGTGCGCAGCGCGCGCAGCCCGGCCAGCTGGTGGGACTGGCGCCCGCTGGCCGAGAACCCCAGGGTCACGAAACCTGCAGGGAGCAGAGGTGGGGAAGGGGGGGAAAGCGGGTGGGGGGGGAGCGTCCAACCATGCGCACACGCCTTGGAGAGGGTGACGCTGTGATTTGCTACTTGCTACGTCGTGTGGCACCGTGGTGTTTGCTTTCTTTGTGACTGCTCTGCAACACTACAGAAGAGCGGCCAGACGATCCCTGATGTCAGCAGTTGCATTCCTCATGCTCGCTGCCGACGCACCGACGACGACGATAACAAAGTCCAGAGCGTTCCACGGGTTCCGTATGTACGAGGTTGGGCCGTTGAGCGCGAAGCCTTGGACTGTGATCTTCAGCAGCGCCTCGGCCGCGAACAGCGCGGTGAAGACGATGTCCAGCACGCGTAGCGCCGCCTTCAGCGAGCTGTTGGGGTCGAGGCCAGGGGTGTCTACAGCCAGCGTCAGGGAGCTGAAGAGGATGAGCAGGAGAATCGTGTTGTCGAAGTGGCGGTGAGAGATCACGCGCGCCAGGAGGGTGCGGAGGCGGCTGCCTGGGGGCAGGAGCCAGAGGGCGTTGCCGCGGAGCACCCGGGGGGTGGCGCTCTCGGAGGCCTGCCGTGTGGATGTACGGCAGCGAGCGGAAAGGTGGACGTTGGAGGTGAGGTGCAGGTGGAGAGTATCGAGTGATAGATAGATAGATAGATAGATAGATAGATAGATAGATAGATAGATAGATAGATAGATAGATAGATAGATAGATAGATAAGTTACTCATGCCATAGCATCACTGCCATTGAATGGATGAGCTGGCGGGACAAGAGTTGCCGAGGTCGCAGTACTTGCATGCATTATTGGCTCTGCACACACACAACTCATGCCATAGCCATCACCCAATTTTGTGCATTTGCCAAGGTCCTGCGCACCCTGCCATCAAGCGCGGCCGACGCGTCAGACGGAGCCGTCGCCAGCCGCGCCTCGAGCTCCGGCAGAGCCAGCCGGCTGCCTCCCACATGCGGCGGCAGGGATCCTGCCAGACCCCCGGCTGCGGCCCCGCTGTCGAAGCCATTTGTGATGCCGCGCACGCCCCCTGATCTTGAGGCGCCGAGCGGTACAAAGCTGCGCTCCCGCTTTGGGGCCAGAAACAGGTCTAGCCCGCCGGCTGAACCTGCCGAGAAGCTGCCCCCGCCCATAGCCGGCCCCATCATTTCCCCAAAACGTTCGAAGACGCCGGTGTGGCCGCTGTTGCTGGCGTCGCCCGCGTGGGCCACGCCAGAGTGCGACAAGAGCGAAGCGTGGCCCAGAGGTGGGGTGAGGCGCTGATGATGTCCAGAAGTGAATGACCTGAGGGTGAATTTGCGGGTTGGAGTTGGAGTTGAACGTATATGTAATTCTAAAATGTTGCTGGGATGCGATGGTCTGGAGCAGTGCTGAGAGGCTTCAGACATGTGAATTTTCACGTGATCGACCATGTGCAAAACCTAGGCAGTGGGGTTCAGCAGCAGCGCTGCGCCGCAGCAGCCCAGCAGACCCGTAGCGCAGCTCAATGCCCACCTGCCAAAGCCGCCGTCCGCTGGTGACAGCCCCGCGCCTGCCAGGGAGCTGGGAGCCCTGGGGCTGCCGCCAAGCGCCCCGCCAACCGGCGACGAGCGGCCGCTCGCACCGGCGCCTCGCATCAGCACGGCCGGCCCTGTAGTCAGGCGCTGCCGCGACAGGGACGCAAAGGACCCGTCGCTGTGCGCGACAGCCTCAGCTGGCTGGGGTGACCCAGCCACGGTGCGACTGGCTGCCGGCAGCGCAAGCGGGGCCAAGCGGACAGAAGCCCGGCTGATGGGGGTCTCTGTCGCCACCTGAGGCGACCCAGTCAAGAGTACCTGAGCGCAGGCTCCGCGCCTGACTGCCAGCTGCGGCTGCGGCAGCAGCTGCGGCTGCGGCTGCGGCTGCTCCGGCAGCTGGCGTTGCTGCTGAGACTGCAGCTGCGGCTGCCGCTCAGGCTGCGTCTCGGGATGCGATTGCAGCTGCGCCTGTGCCTGGGGCTGTGGCTGGGGCAGAGGTGGTGGGGACGGCAGCGGTGCGACCCTCTGCCTCCTCCTCCGCGCCGCAAGCCAGGAGCAGCCCATCAGCCCGCGCATCCAATCCAGGACTGCCGCGCCCGCGGCGGCCGCAGCGGCGGCCTCGCGCATCGTGTCGGAGCCGGTGCCGCCGCTGGCGCTGCCGTCGTCGCCGGCCGAGAAATTGTCGAGCAGGATGGCCAGAAAGAGGTTGAGCATGACGTAAGTGCCAAAGGCGATGACGCCGACGAAGAAGAGGCAGGTGGCTGGCGACACGGCCTCCATGGAGATGTACTGAGCAGCGGGGCGGGGTGTGGGGCAGAAAGATGGGGGGCATGGCTCAGCCGGACTCTGCCCCGCAGGGTGGGTTTACAGTATGTGTGTATCCCTGTTGCAAGTGACGATCGTGTGTGAAGGATCGCTATCAAGCCACTCCTGCCACCCCCCCCAAACAATTTGGCTGCCCAAGCCTCATCGAGCCCTGGACAGACGGAAGTAAAACCAGGCTCCACAGCTGCCACCCTGCCGAGCAGCATCCCTGCCCCCCAAGCTGCCTCCCCCGACCAGACGCCGTCCTGCTCATCGACGTTCGTCGACAATGCAAGCAACATCTCTCGACTTATTCATCAACCAGGACAGGCCAGACGCAGCAGCCCCAGTGGACCCCAGAGGCCTACACCCACCATGAGATCGTTCCAATTCTCGAGCGTCAGGATCTGGAACACCGCCAGCAGGCTCCAGCCGATGTTATCGAACCTCGTCCGCGACACGGACGCGGCCCCCACCTGGGCCCAGTACTGGTAATCGCTGGCGTTGACGATGGGGGTGCTGGCGCCCACGCTGGACAAGTTGTCGGCGCCGCTGGCGCCTGTGGGCTCGCGTGGGAACCGCTCACAGTACGCGAGCCCGTTGTAGGGCGACCCTGCGCAACGGCGTTTGGAGCGTTGTGATTCTTTCACAGTGGTGACTGGGGGCTGGGCAGGGTGTGGGCGGATCCAGCCCGCAGCCCTGCAGCATCACGTCGGATCGAATAACGTTTATTGTAGCACTGTTTGGGCTGAGGCATTTGCTGGCCTGCCGCAGAATAATGACAGACAGCTCAAGCAGCCCCACGCGGGCCAAGCTGCTCGCTGTCCCGGCTCACCGGGCACAGGCAGCCAGCTGCCGGCACGCGCTGCGTCGCACGGGACGAAGCAGTCCGGGTGCGCCGGGCAGTCCGCCGCGGGGTCGAGCCCAGGCGGGCACAGCGGCGCGGCGCCGTCCACGGCACACCAGCGCAGGCGGTAGCCAAAGATCTGCATTCCCATCAGCGCAAAGACGAACACGAGCAGCAGGAGCAGCAGGGAGAGGTACCCGACCGACACTATGGAGCGGCCGATGGTGTTGATGATGCGATTCAGCTCCTTCCAGCTGCGCGCCAGCTTGAAGACGCGCAGCAGGCGGAAGGTGCGCAGCACTGACAGCGAGCCGCCCAGAGCTGCGGGCAAGCGGCGGGTGTGTAAGGTGGGCGTGAGATCCGCAACCAGAACAGCTTTTGGGAAAGAGAGTTAATCGTGCTGGCCGGGGCGGGCTGAGGCAGGCATTGCGCATGTCAAGAATTGCAGCTCAGGGATGTGTCACACCGTTGGCTTTGCATGTGCACAGGCTGCCGCCTGGTCGCTCACTGGAGCTGACGCATGGGATGAGGCCGATTACCACCTCCACCAGCGACGCCGCTACCACCACGGCGTCAAACCTGATACCAATTTATGGTTGGGCGTGCGGGGCTGGCAGCGTCGAAACAGCCCAGCCTTGGATAGCCAAGAACGCATGCGCATCCCTCCCTTCCATCAATGGGAGGGATGCAGGCACACAAGGCAATTCCCTGCCCCGCCTCAACACCTTGCTTTCCCCTGCGCAGTGCTGATTGCGTCAGAAGCTAGCCCCACCTGTTCATGCCGCCCGCCAGGTAGCCCCGGACCCCCAGCCCCACCACCTTCACGATCATCTCGGCCGCGAACCACGCCGTGAACGCCAGGTTAAGGCTGTCGTCAGCATGGTCCCAGGCGGGGCTGAGGGCGGGGTAGGCCACAGAGGCCATGACGGCGGTGTTGGCGAGGATGATGACGAGGTTGGCCGCCTGGAACGCAAACGACTGGGGGGCGGGGTCGGGCGGGGCGTCCGAGGTTCGACATGAGACCCGAGAGTGAGTGGGGCTACCATTGCGAGCGCGGGCGGCGCACAAGCCGCCGTCGTTTGTGGCAGCACAAGCGCCTGCTGCTGCATGCTTCGTTGCCAGGTATCCCGTGCGCATGCGGCATGCAGCTGGAGCAAAATAATGTGGAGGCACACACACACCGCTTGCAGTGCCCTGCATGAGCCCTGCAGCTGCCGCCAGGCGCCAGCAACAGCCGCCAGGCACCCAAACCCTCGGCTGGTGCGCCGGGGGCCGCGGTCTGCTGCGGTTGTGCCTCCGACCCAGGTGGGGGCGAACATGGCGTCCTCCTCTGGATCGACTGCCACCAGAGGCTTCTTCCTCAAGGCTGAGGATGCAAGGGATTTGGGAGCACGCACATTGAACGATTGCAAGAGCAAGGTCGCAACCTCTACAACTTTCAGATCATGCAGCTGTTGTGTCTGGAGGCGCAGCGCAAGTCCCTGGTGTGCTCAGCAGCAAGCGACGCTGTGATCAGGGCGCCCCTGGTCCATTTGCAGCGTGACAATTGCGGCAAGCCGCGCGCGGAAAAAACCCACCTGACGCCCTAGGCTTGCCGGCACCCATCACCGAACGCCGCACAACCACCTTTGCGTCTCCTGCTGTCAGCAGCTGCCCGCCACGACGGCCGTCGCTACCGCGTCCAGCCGCGCCTGCCCCGCCATCCCCAGTGCTCTCCCCAACCCTGCCTGGGACCTCGTGCGCAGCGGCAGGATCCTGGGCTGAACCCAGGCCCGGTGGAGGCGCAGGCTCCCCCGGATCCCAGGCGGCTGCAAGGGCGACGCTTTGTCCATTGGCATTGCAGCTTGCGTCAACTCCACCCTCGTGATCGCTGCTGCCGTCGGAGCCGCAGCTGCCCGCGCGATCCATCTCCCACGCCACGCGCCCCATGCTCTGCGCCCCGGGGCCTCCTGCGCCGCTCGTGCCCCCCGCCGCCACGCCCTCGGCCGGCGCGGGGTCCGTGGCAGGCGGGGCCGGGGGCGGCGCGTCCTTCGTGAATTGGAGGTACAGGACGGCCAGGGCGAGGTTGATGACGAAGAAGGACCCGAATATCACCAGCAGAACAAAGTAAACCCAGGTCCAGGGGGAGACGGCCTGCTGGGTGGCGTACAGGATGTCGCTCCAGCCCTCCTGCGGGTGGGGCGGGTCGAGAGCCTCAACAGAGGTTGCCACACAGCATGACGGGCAGCTGCCTGGAGGTTGCCAGAAGAAACCATGGGCGGCTGCCGCCACGTCAGCCGCAATCACTCGAGTTGTAAAAGGCAGCCTGCCCGGCCTGGTTTATCGCAGGCGCATGTAAACAGGTGGACTGGCAATTCCTGTCAGCACAGCGCCTCGAACCCACGGCCAATTCCAGGTCAGCACCCCCTGCCGACCTGGGTGATGATCTGGAAGATCGCGATCCACGCCCACAGGATATTGTCAAAGCTCGTCATCCCCTGGTTTGGGTTTCTGAATGGGGCGCAGAACAGCCCCAGCCGGTTGTCATCCGTGCTTGACGCATCGCAGGCGCGGCCGCCGCCTCCAGAGCCGCCAGACCACGTCGGGGCACCAGGGGCCAACACAGGGCCAGACGGCGCCCAGGAGAGTGATGATGTCATCCGGCCGCTGCACATGTCTTGCTCCTCGGAGAGTGGGACGATGTAATCAACGCCGGCGTACGCCAGGCGGCCCGAGGTCACAGAGCCGTTGGCGAAAGGGCCCGCGTGTACAATGTGGGCTTGGGAGAAGTCGGGCGCAGCGCACCTGCGGGTTGCGTGGCCGGCCGGAGCATTCATAAGTAGGGTGGTGCCAGGGCACTGTGCATACGAGGGGGGTGCGCTCGGGGCCGCCAGCGACGGCGCCCCTTGAAAAGCGACTGCCACACCACACCCCTTAGGTTGGCTGCCGTGCCTCTGGCAGCCCTTGCCTCTTTTTCAAATACCCTGTTCACTCTCATCCTCCTGTATTTCTCCGTGACGCCCTCACCCCCCCCCCCCAATACATACGCACACGCAC